ACTTTAGTTAAAAACTTAAGAGACAGTTTTCCTATGGGTTTAGGAATTTGATTCCCATTTTATTTCATCATTATTTTCTTGGATTCTTTGCATACGAGATAATTATATTGAGATGTTTTTGATTTATAAGGCAAAAAAGAAATAAATATATTTTACAAGATCAATTTTACAAGCTATGTCACTTGATGTGGTTATTACATGCCACCCATAGGGTTTATGTATGATATAGCTGTAGTGTTATAACAAATTTCAGCTATGGGAATTTTAACAAAACGTTATAATCCAAATTAAAAATTAAAGTAGTACCTGCCTTTTAATTTATATTAAAATATGTTCGGAATCGCTTGTCTTTTATAATGTAGTTGTTTTGTACAATGTAGTTTTTTTGACCAAAAACTAATATTACATCCACTATGAACTAAAAGGATTTTCCTTTTATAAGTACCCGTTTTAATTGGATTACTTGAAATCAAAATATGATGTTTCATTTAGATTTAAAATTATTATTCTTTTTTCATTAGAAAGTTCCTTATAAATTTAAAATGTATGTACATTTACCAATAAGAGATAGCTGGACAAACAGATAATAACTTGTCTATTAAATTCGCAAATGTTCTATATAATTGAAATGGATTGTAATTAAATAATTGATTTTAATTCATGTGAAATATTCGTGTTTTACTTCAGGTATGAACATGCTATAATAATATTAGTTAAGACCAAGCAATTTAAGCTTATTGATAGGGTATTGATTTTTTTATTTCCTATTGACTTCATTGTCCAATTAACAGCAATTCTAGAATTTTCAACTTTTTTATTTTCTGAATCTTTAATTTCACAGCTGTATTAAATACAATATTTTCTGACATACTAAACTCAATATATGTTCGAGGACATGCTTGACTCACACTCTAATGAACTGGTCTCGACCCACTATTAGACTGTTTTTTTTTGTATAAAATATTTTAGACCATTTGTCATTTTCATTCACTATTTGCCGACTCCAAAAAGGTAAATTACGCCATACTTTCATCAATTGTAAAACTATTTTGATGATTCTTTTATGGATAGGTCCCATATACATTTGTAGGAAAAATTCTACCCCTTATGATACAAAAATAAAGGATGAAGTTTTTAACTATTAAAATGTCTTCAAAGGTTACGTGTAATGGCCATGTCTCACTTATGCCGGTAGGAACCACTCTTGAACATTAATATCTTATTTTACGTTACAAAGTGTAATCATTATGAAAATAGATACCTAACACAGTTGCGAAGTGATCCTCACTAGCAAAGATTCTTACTTAGATTTATACTTTTGCTGTCAAAAGTCCCTCATAAATTGCCTCATAGTCGTCACGCTTGGCAAACGGGTTGATAAATAACTCTATTGAGTTGTTATCAAAAAGATGATACTGTCCATCTCCTGTTTTAGTTTCTCTCTCTTGACTCTTACGACACCCACTGATATGGAGTAAAGCACTCCACCGGCGTACACACTTTCTACACGGCGAATACTTACAAGAATATTAATTTTATAACATGATTTTGTTATTATTTCTACTTTATTATTAAATATATTGTATTGGTTTTGTTTTATATCAAAACAAACAATTTTATTTTATTTTAGGCACTAACGCAAAGGGCCTCCGAATTTTATTAATGGAATTTTCAATTATTATTTGAAAAATAACCGAATATGTACCTATGAAAAAAATACTCGACAGTAGTGCTCGGTTAAAATGAAGCACGGACCACGCCCGACAATCCAATTTAGCCTTTACTTTGTGGATGTAAATTACAATCAGTGCCTGAACTCACACATCCACCCAATGAAAACGTACATGGAAGGGTTCTGCTGTGTAAAACTAATCAGGATTTTACTAAGTATATAAAGCAATGTCAGTAATGTCGTATTTGCCAGTGTGATTGCATAAAACTTTAAAGCTACTAGTTTTATTTTAATGCGGTTTTTCCCATAATTTTTTAAACTTCTTTAGGAAAGAAAAGGGAAAACCTATAAAATTTTATGAAAAAATAGTAGAAAATTGTGGCGTTTTGTGATCAAGTTGTAAAAGATTCGACGAGACGAGAATCTTCTTATAAACCCCAAGTAATATTAGAAGTCTCTCGAGTTCAAGTTATCTGATTGCAAATAGTAACTTAAAAAAGTCAACTTCTCCGTAGCTAAGTTGCAACTTCCAAAATGCATCAGATTTCGTAGCTGTACTAGCTGTTCCCCGCAGCTAAGTCTGCGTTTATATATTGCGGTTTGATTTCAAGGTTTTCTTTCAATTACTTTTCGCGGAACCCTAATTCTTTTTCTAATTACTTCTTATAACATCAGCTCAGCTATTAGCCGGAACAAACAAACAGACAGACATACAAATATTTTAAATGTTTATTTGTTATAATAGGCAAATTCAATTTTATTGATTTGTATATGTAGTAGATGAGTTGTTCAACGGCTGTAGCGATAATGATGTTGAGATGCACTTATATATATATATATATATATATATATATATATATATATATATATATATATATATATATATATATGCAAGCTGCTACTGCAAAATACGAAGAAAAAACCCTGTTTTAGTCATATATCAGCTGGTCGGTGTGCCCGTTTGTCACGTTAAATATTATGAACTTTTACCTATGTGCCTCAATGTGAACATAAAATATAAAGTTGGACTCGACGTGAAGTAACTGTGACTATTTCGAGTTTTTTTTGATTTATCTAAATCAAAAAAAAACTCGTAAGGAAAAAGAGGCTTACAAAACAATTTGACAGTATTTTTTTACACATCCCGTTATGAAAATCAATGATTTTCAAAAAATCGGGTAGGTTGCATTTAGATATTGTATGTTGTATTCTACTTGCATGACGTTAGATATGGAAGAACTTTGAACTTGTATAATGTTCATACGTATTACGTACATATTCGCTTAAACTTATACACTTTGTGTAGCGCACTGGTCTACAAGCGTAGCAATTACGTAGCGAGCTACATGCATCTCCAACGTAGCAGCAAATCAAGTGACTTCATACTTATTGAGGCGTTTTATATAACTCTACGTAGACGTCAGACGACATAACTTTGCTACGCTGGTAAATTTATACTAAATTTGAGATTTCCTTTAAAGTTCGCCATGTTTACTGGTGGTATTACTTGTTCGCTATAGTTTTCATTAATTAGGTTGTCGCTATGTGCTAATGCTTTTATATAAGTGTATAGTGCATAGAAAACGGGAAGGCGAATATTTTTTTACAGAATATGGATGACAAACGAGCATAAAGTCCACCCGATGGTAAATGGATGCTGGGACCCATGGACATCTACATTTAACCTCGAATACGAATCAAAATACATAATCGTTGTCACCCCTGAGCACTAAGATGGAATGCCTCGATTTAAGTAAAACGGGTCTCCGTTCCTACACTCACCATACGAAATACAGCAGCATTAAGCTGCTATTTTACGCAAGTATTTTGTGAGAGCTTGTTCCTTCCCTGGTGCTAAATACCGACCATAAAATAGCTGCAGATTGGCTCTACCACGTATGGAAAATGAAATGAATATGGACAAAGACAAACATTAAACTGGGTTATTAAACCGTTTGCTTTATAAAAATTATATTTCGAGTTGATTATGTGCTGTTTTTTAAAGAATACCTTTTCAAGTATTATTCTATCATCAATATTTTACTTTTATAGCAATATATAATACTCATGGATTCGAACCAACGAAATTTAAATATCCCTTTTATATCCTAAACTGGTTTAACTATTGCTTTCTACATTTTTATTTAGTTTAAGTTACCATGATAAAGTCGATTTAGCTTAAGTCACGAATCGTAATTTTTTACTGTAATGCTCACGAATATTACATAAAAACCGATGTATTCATTTCATAAGGAATTTTTCCAAGAAATTTAATTAATTAGATTAAGTTTATGATCGAAATGCACTTTTTATGTTACTACCAAAAAAATAAAACAATTTTAAAATGTATATAAATGTTAGAAAATAGCGTTTGTGTATTATGTAATTTATGATTCTATGCATGAAGGTGATTACCGAAAGTGTTCCTCGGCTGACCAATGCCTATACTGGACAACCCGGTCACCGCAATCCAGCTAGCGTGTTACGTGACGCGAATGAAAGGTTATAGGAACGTGATGTACTCGTACGTGGCTATTCTGTTCCTAACCTAGCCGCCAATTACGAGAAATTAATTCGTGCAAATTGTGTGCAGATAATTATATCACAGTTGTCAACAACGATGACCGATTTGTATACACATTCTATTATTACCACGGTTTTAAGACCTCACAGTCGTGAAACGCCTTTGATGTCGCTTAGGTATTTACGTGGCAGCGTGTATGCTAGGGATTGTCTCGAAAATATATTGCTCATTATTGCACTTTGCACTGCAAAATATTTTTGTGACACTTTCTTTTTATAGATATTTTCAGATTTAGATTGTTAAATACAATTATGTAATATGGTTCGCATTCGGATAAACAATTTTATCAACAAAATATAAGGAAAACATACGTATAGCCGTCAATTGAATTCAATTTTACATGGTTGATGGAGCGTGAATAAAGCTAATAAAACGTTGTGAAAAGAATTTTTTTTCATCAGGATCGATTTTCTTTCTGACCCTCATGATCATTAAAGGTATCGTTAGTACTATCGTCTGTCTTCGTTTTCGGGAGCGTTTCACAAACACCTAGTATAATTACAACAGTAATTCACCATTCTTGATCAGTGTTGCCAACTGCTAGCTTTACCCAGTAGCTAGACATTTTCAAAATGTTGCTAGATTTCCAGTTTTTTTTTTAACCTAAAAATTTGCTAGAAGTTGCTAAATGTTACAGTAGATAAGTAGGTTACAATAAAATTCCAGTTTCTGATAAACATTTTTATTCATTAATTCCAACGAGAAGTTAAATTAAGTCCTGTGTACGCAATTGAATAAAAAAAATTAATCAATTAAAGAGGAAGATGTCGATGGCTGGAGTTCAGTATCTTTCATTGATTTCGAATATTTTTCAACGGCGCCCATTTTATGCAGTACGTCTTCAGGCAAAACACAGTTATTGCATTTACCACTTTTCCTGAGGGAGTCTCTAATGCAGAGGATTGAGTTCAGAGTTTTCCAACTCATTCTGTTTCTTTGCTTATTTTTAACTAAATTCATTTGAGAGAATAACCTTTCTACCTCTGGATTAGAATGTGGCAGTGAAACGCAAGTTAAAGCAAGAGTACTTATATCTTGATATATTATGTTGTCACCAGAATAATTTCTAATTTTTTTTACTTCGACCCAAAACTGAACTATTTCTTCAGAATGCCACTTATTTATATGTAGAATGTGCCACTGTTGCATTATCTTGTCTATTATTTCTGGTGTAAATCCCAAAATTTCAGCAACTTTGATGATAGTGTTTGACTTGATTGGTTTTATTGCCGCCTCTGGACTTAGCAACGCCATTGATTCTAACTGCTTGTAGTTGTCTGGAAGCCTTTGTTGCAATTCCTTAAGTAATTGCAGTAAGAAGGCGGAGCAGCGTTGTCGTATTGTATTTAAAATTTCTGAGTCTAAATTATGTTGAGCAGTTTCAAACATGTAGCTAAGATAAGGCCTAGGGTTAATATCTCTGTCAGTTATTGGATCTAATAAGTTTCTGTTTATAGGTCTTGGCATTAACATTCTCTGGCTCACTGATTCTATCAGTATTGTGAGTGTATTGAGAAGTTTTAATGGATTAGAGTTTTCACTTTCAAATGATTTAATTGCTGTTTTAACATCATTTAAAACGCTTCTCTGAAACACAAAATATAAATAATTTCTTTTGTCTTCGAGCATATTGTAAATAAGCTTAGCTGAGTAGCAATTGTCTTTCCCTCTTGCTAAATTAAAATGTATATTCAATTCTTCCCATTGTGTCACAATTTTTGTTATCGCTGGCTCTATTGAAAGCCAACGTGTATCGCACACCTTGGTGATTTTCAACGGACTTTCGCCACAGTTTATAAGTTAGTATATTTTTGTGTATTCGTCTCGCCGTTTAGGAGACACAAGAAAACCATTTCTAAATTTCTCTAAACAAAAACTCTAAATTTCTTGGCAGAGTATTATCGGAGGCATGGGTCACTGCTAACTGCAATGAGTGGCAGACACATTGTATCAGTATCAAATTTTCTATACCATATTCTCTTTTTAGGATTGCATGGACCCCGTTATTAATGCCTGTCTTATCAGATGCATTATCAGTTCCAATTCCAATCATTTGTTTGATATCTAACTTGTGACTCTCTAAGCATGATACCAAGCCATTAACGATTCCCCTAGCATCTGCACTCTCAATAGAAACTAGTTCCAGGAATGAGCTTACTATCCTTTCCTGTGCAGCACTATAATACCTAATTACAAGACCAAGGTGTTTAATGACACTGACGTCTGTGGACTCCATTATAACGCTGAATTTTTGGTGTCCAATATCAACTAAGAGCTCCTTACGAAAGTGCGGCATCAGCACATTTTTCATTATTTCTGTACATTTAGTGCGATGCAATTTAAGTTCCTGTGTAGCTTTGGAGTCTTTGAAACACATTTTGCATAGTTCACCTAAATGGTCAACACTTAATATAAAACAGTACTCGGCAATAAATAAGATCAATGCGCCTTCAGATTCATCGCAAGTTCTAAATAAATGGTCTTTTGATACAACTTTGAAAGGAATTTCTTTATTGCCTGTAAAGACAAAATTAATATACATAAGGACCCTAGACGCAAAATGTTATTTGACCCTAAAAAATTGGTAAAATGAAAATATCAAACTCATTTTTGCCATCGATATAGTCTGATATCAACAATTTTAAATTAATTCACGTACCTGTTTTGAACTCTATTTTCTGATTATGCTTTTTGGTCTCAGCATGCTTCTTTATATCAAACAGTTTAGCAAGAATTTCCGTAGAACAATATGTACAAAATGCTTTGCTTGAGTCTCCACTTGCCGATTTTAGCCAACCTTTAAATTCGTCCATATTTTCCCACTCTGGTCTGTATTTCCCTGCGTAGGTTTTTTTTCCAAGGTTAATCTATTTTCAAATTAAATTAAATTAGTTTTATATGGATAAAAAAACAACACAAGGTAGAATACGAATATCGCGTACTATTTTAGTTTACTAAGTATTCTGTCGCAGAGGAAACGGGGAATTCCCGGCCAGCGTCGACCTGTACTTACCGTAGTATCTATGACCATAGATTTTTTTTCTTTCGACTCGGCACACTACTCGACGAATTTCAATAGACTCACGTCTCATGATGAAATGAAAAGTTGCTAGAAAAAGTAGCTAAAAAGTTTAGCTACAAGTTTTATTAAATTATAGCTGCCTGTCACCAAATAATAGCTAGATCTAGCTATAAAGTTGCTAAGTTGGCATCACTGTTCTTGATATATTTTCGAAAACGGCACTTCAAATTGTTTAAATAACTACTATAAAACATCCTCGCGACAACCACTTGTATTGTCTATCAGACTCAGTGAAGTGCGCTAGCACAAGCTCGGCCCGCACTCTGCCTCTTGTACCCCCACCGCTGTTCTACACAAGTAAATTCGTTTTCCAACTGTTAAGTTTGTAAACTGTGTTATTAATCAATGTCTGTGTGTGCGTGCGTGTGCGAGAGCGTGTACGTTTGCGTGTGCGTGTGCTTGTGCGTGTGCGTGTGTACTGCGTCGGTAAATTTTTACATTTCTTAACTGTACGCATGACGAAAGACGAAACAAACCGTGTGGTTCTAATGCGTACAACAACATAAATGTAACTACCCGCCGAGCACCTGGTTATCCCGTGGTGGAAAGGGAAGGGGAGTTTAAAGCATGTAGTTTTTGCGCGCACTCTCCGAAATGCACTCTACAGAATATCGACAGGCTTACTACTCTGCGCTTGTGCTCGAGGCTGGGAAGATTGGTTTCAACCAAATCGAGGTTACCAATAAGCCTCTTAGCATGTCCCTGTACTGAGTCAATGTAACATCATCACTCCATGCACGACCGCACTTGCACTTAACAAAACGTGAGAAGCTGCCAAAGCATGCTAAGGAACTAGATGAGTTTCCTTGCGGTTGCTTTGGCTCTGGACTCAATGAATCGCCCATAGTTAAGGTTCGGAGAAATCGTATCCTCTAATAACTGAAGGCGGTCACTGTATTTTATATGCAGCAGAAATAATTTCGCCTGCTCAAAGTTCAAAAACTTTATTAAACTAAGTTTGTATACAAAGGTTTATTATAATATTAAGGAATTTATGGATGATAATAGCGTCTAGGAATCAGGTGATCGCTACCAAGCTATTTCTAATTTGTTATGTGTTGATCGATTTTGTAACATACATGAATGTAAGCTGTTATTTTTTTGTAATCCCGCTGGGTTCCTTGCTGGTTCTTCCCAGGACAGAGGTTTTTCGAACCAGTGGTAATTAAACAAAAGAGTGACTCTCAATAAGTATTATTTAAAATCTATATTGAATACAAAAGTGTTTGTTTCTATCACGTTTAGATGTCCCCACCATTTATCTGTACATTAATTCTTTATATGATCTTTATCCATATTACTTCCATTCCGTTTGTATTGATGTAATTCTAAACTCTGATATGTTTCAAAATGTTGGCGCGCTTTGTGAGCTATAGTTATGACTAAGTTCTGTTACAGTTTATAATAAAAAAATATTTTATTTCTTACGATTATAATACGAAAAAATTGAGACAATTCTTTTTAGTCTGGCTACAATTTTTTATTTTAATATTTTCTCTTTCTAAATAATACAGATTACTGGTGTCTGAAACTGACACCTTTTCCCGTCACTAATATATACCTGACTGTCAAGTTGACAGATGTCATCTTGAGAAAATAACAATTCCCTTTTCCCTCTGAGGCTTTAAATATTTTTTATATTCTTTTCGACATTGAACTTTTTCTTGATAGAGTTGATTTCGCGTTTATAATAGAATCATTATATAAATGTTTGCATGCCTATATTTAATATATTAAAAACAAATAAAAGACCATACTTTTAATTCATAAGCTTATCTTGTTTATTTTGAATAACCGAAGTAAAACAAATCAACGGCTCCGTGGCGCTGTGGCTTAGCAATGAGTTACAGGGCTAAGGGCCGCGGGTTCGAATACCGCACGGAACAAATATTTGTATGGCCTACAATTAATTGTTCCGGGTCTGGATGTTTGTCGTTGTGAAATTTATGTTTGTAAACTGCCCCCACGATACAGGAGAAAATCCTAGTGTAGAGGTAATGTTTTTTAAAAATAAAAATAAAAAAAAACAATGCAAGACTACACATACATCTTTTTTATATTTATTTATTATAGTGTTATAACTGTTTACACCTCATAGCCCCATTAGGTTTTAAAAGAAGCGGCTTTGGGATGCGATGTAAGTACTGTTAGCCTATTAGCTTTACAGGTTTATTGTTCTTAGGACTCTAGAAAGGCCGGAAGTTAAGGGAAATTACAGAAAAAATTTACCCTCTTAAATTGATGACGATATAATTCATCTTGCATGTGCGAGATATAAATACCCTAAGCAAGCGGTGGGCCCCGCCTATTCCTATCCTAAGCCTATTTCTTTCTTTTATAAGCTACCTGCAGATCCTAAGATGTATTGAATGTTCACGGGTGTCACTGGTAACATTAAGTGCGTTGCCAGTTACGCCCGTGAATAGATATACGAGTCTATGTTCCGTAGCATTATCACCACGTCCTCAGACGAAATAAAAACTCAAGACAGAGCCCCGTCGAACAACGCACTGAGGCAGGTAAAACTACGCCTCGCCTTGTACATACACAGTTTCACGCACACAAATATAACGAAACTACGCCTTAGCTTCTCATTCGAGCTATTCCAGCGCACGGAGTGTCACGTTATAATAATTCGCAGTTTTTAAAGAAAAAATGCCGAATTGTGTTATGAAAGGGTGTAAAAACCAATCTTCCAGAAATAAAAAACAGGATGGAATCACATTTCATACGTAAGTATACATAAAAATCCAAAATTTTAATTAATCATTTTTATTATTTATTCTGACAGCTTGGAACATAAAACGTCGACAAGTGTTGCCACTAGTGAGCGTCACAGTAGTCCCTATTTATTCGGTAATTTATTAATGTGACGCGAAACTTAATGTAATTCTATTTAATGTATTTCCATTTTACTTATAATATTTATAAAATTATTGTAAGTGTAAATACTCATATTTTTTTTGCTTTTCCATGTTTTATCATCACTTCAAAAATCTATATTTTTAAGGTTCCCCATCCGAAATAAATACATTATCGGATATATATCAGGAAGTACAGCGCATTACTTGTCAAGGGTCATTAAGTGTCAAACGTGTCTAGCTCGCTTACAGTCGGATGAGATATTTGACTTCCATAAACTGATATCTTTAAAAGATAAAGGTGGCTAATCTTTCCGTCGAAAGACCTTTTTGAAATTTGCGTAATTTGTGAAACTGTTGTACGTAAATTATGTAATGAAAGCATAGTGATAGTTACTGAAAACCAACACAAATCAGTTACTAATATTTTAACAACTTCCCTGTCCGCGAAATAGACACAATAGTTTAACAATCGAAATGTTCATATATGACTCATGGGACAGTGAAATGGTTAAAACGATTTATTGGTACTGACAACGTTTTCTCTAAATTGGAGACTGAGCATAAAATAAGCTTAATAAGATGCATAATTGGACAATATTTATCAATTCGTTTCCACTATATTTCTAAATTGGAAACAATTTCCAAAACGGTGGACAGTAAACGACAATATTTCAAAAAATTGACTCAACAAAAAGGTTATTAAAATAAAAACAATGTTTCTTTCATATTACTATTGTTTTATTTTTCCCCTTCCTGGTCGAAATAAACATACTTACAAACATAATAAATAAATTATTATGTATGTAAGTATGTTTACTTGCAACCTTCCGCTAATTAATTAGTTAGCGGAAGGTTGCAAAGTAACGCCTGATTCTATCAATTATACTTTCATACTACTTCTTAAAGTGAGGTAAACAATTGAAAAAATTGCCAACTTATCTTTTTACTTATCCATTCATCCTGATATACTTAGACAATAATATATTAGGGTAATAAATGTTTACTGCACGGCAACACTCGCTTGCAGCACACATGTTTACCAAACCGACCTCACTTCTTTGTTGACAGCGCTCTGTCTTGAGTTTTTATTTCGTCTGAGACCACGTCGAGGTAGACACAAAATTACTGTTGATGTATTTTTAATATAAATCCATGTATAATTTTTTTTTTTATAAATAGCACACGATTGAAGTGAATTAATTTACTTTATTAAGGGTTATTGTTCGTACCGAATCTTTTTAATGTATATTATGACAGTTATTTCGTTGACCTCTGCCAAAAGCAAATGTAAATGAGATATTTTGAAAGCTAATCAATATTGATTATTTCTTAATCTTATAGGTAAAGTTGAGCTTAGATAGAAACTTCTTAACTGACGGGCATTGTATTGATATCCTAAATTGGTCCAGCGATGGTTTTAAATTAAACTAAAGCCCGCTGCTTGAGTTCTTGGAGCTGTTATCTCGCTCGGTGTTGGCTATTAAAACTTGACGCGGACGCCAACTGTGACCGCCCCATGCCCCAATTGCTTATGGCGACCTCTTGCGGTAACTAAATAGTCTACTTATATTTATGTTACAAGTTATATATGTCTTTGAGGTTTTCTTAAGTGACAAAGACAAGACGATTTAAGATACCTAACTTTGAATAAATATTTTTAGTGTTATTAATGTTAAATGTAACAATGTCAATAAAAATATTACAAACATTACGAATATGCCATTATTCGAATATTATTAAAATGTTTGAGAATGCAGTTTCGTATTGATACTATTCTTTAATATTTTATTTTGTTTTTTCTTGTTAATGATTGAACACTCTTCATATTTTTATCAAAAATCTGCAAATAATAATAGCTGCCAGCGTTCTGTGTTTTATGTCCTAGGATTAAAATATAATCTCGTTTATACTGTAGTAAAAGGAATCGAAATGGAACCGCTAAAATATAAATTCGACTTTCGTTTCGGTTATTTTATGAAATGTATAAAACTTTCGTTGTGACTCTATTTCGCGTAATTACCCTAACATTACTTTAGTTTCGTACTGAATGTCTTTCCTTTTTTAAGTTATTACATTAAGTTATAATAAGTAGCAAAGTTTAATACTAACAGACTTGTCAGGGCGTACTATTTTAAGACTTTTATTC